TGGGCGAGTTCTTTACGTTGGACTGTTGAGTCCCGCTGGTATGCGACAATGTCTGAAGCTGTATTGTCGAGATTCGAGACAAGGGTTGTAAGATCGATGGCTATCCAGGCAACCTATTAGCAACTGCTACCACTGGTGTTCGCTGGAAACCATACTTCTCCATGCTGATATCGCATGCTGAAACTTATTCTCTCCTTCAAAGGTGGGCGCAGGCGTAGGGGCTTCGGTTGTGCTCGCCAGAGCAGCTTCGACGGCTGCGTCAGTCATGGTGTTGTGTTGAGCTGGTGATCAGGGGCGGCGCAAAGGAGTGGATATGGCAGCCTTGAACGCCGCGGGTGTGTTAAAGCGAGTGTTTTGCAGTTGGTTCTGTCGTTCAACGGTCGTAGGAGCTCGTTGCTGTCGTGGTTCGAATGGAGGCCATGGGGTTGTGCTGATGAATCGGAAGGGATGTGTTTCGTCTCCCTCCTCGATAACTTGGGGCCAGGTTGCGCGTGTCATACAAGCTTATTGGCCAGGAGAGCTGTCAGGCTGTTAACGCCAAGGTTACAGGGGCAGTTCCATGGACGGATCCCCCGCAGCCTTGCAGGTCAGTGAACACAGCCACTAATTATTATAAGCCCGGCGCCTACCTTATCCACTCAAGGTCCCGTCAGCTTCTAGAGCTTCAGGTACGTAGATCCACTCAACTGATGTCAACATACGCCATCCAGCCTCGGGTGCCTGGATACAACGTTTTCGAATTCGCCGAGGCACAACACGACATGCGCTGTTGGCTCAAATGATGCTGTTGATAACAACGCCGCTATGACATCAGATGGCTCAGGCGATGGGCCTTCAATTACAAGCCCAGGGCTAACCACTACCAGTCGCGAGGCTGGCCCTTATGTCCTCAGGACTTTATTAGATGAGGTGCCACTATCTGCAGACGGCTCCAAAGATGATATCAAGATCAACTGTGTAGACTATCTAGGTAAGTGATTTCGGCACTGATTTTGAGTGTTTTGCGCTCATGTTGACCTATGCGCATGTAGATGCGAATCTGTACGTTGGCACATCTGCCTCCGAGCTGCTTCACTTCGTACAAATTCCACCAGACCCAAACGATCGATCCGGGCAACCTGTGTATATCCTCGCATCTCGACTATGTCCTCAATATGTCGAAACTCCAGGCACTCCGAACTCGCGACCCGGCGTCCAGCAAATCCTCCTACTACCTCGTGTCGGCAAAGCGTGTATCCTTTGCAATTGGACCGTCACTTTCTATTCCCTTCCCGAACTTAGCCCTGTTTTTGGAACAACTCTAGTCAAGAACTGTAGTTGGATAGGCGGCATTGATCTGAACGAGCCCTTGCTCGACGATGGAAGTGCAGAGAGGGGTGGAGGTGTCACTATACTCCTCTCTCTCATGCGAAAGATCCAGGTCGTGCGTGTAGGCGAGGACGCGCGCGCTTTTAAGGTACGTATCAGCGCATGGAATGACTGCCTACCGCTCACAAAATATAGAAAATCGACTTCTCTGGAAGCACCCTATCAGTCCGTAGGGACTCAATCGCTTGTGTGGCAGACTCTAAGTCGTATGCGCTTATCGATGTGGAGCAACAGCTCAAGATCCCCTTGATGAGCATTTCATCTTTGGAAGAAACTACCTCACCCAGTGAAATTGGACATGCGCAAAGTATTGGAGCGGATACAACAAGTGGGCTGCTCCGAAGCTCCTCTTCTACTGGAAACCGCACGTCTAGCGAAGCCCCAAGCCATAGTCGGAGCACGAGCTTGGGAGGTTCAATACTGGATAGTATCCGTCGACAAGATCATCGTGGCAACGACAGTGAAGATTTCCTTGGCCGCAACACCTCGCCGCAGCCGTCAATAAGCCCCAGGCCGTCAATGGAGAGAGCTCCAACACCAAACCCTCCTTCGCTCGATAAACCTCTCCCAGCTGCCCCGTCACCATCAGGCACACCTTCTCAGTCGACTGACCCTCGACCAAGGCCTGGGTCTGTCTTTCTAAAGCCTCACATCACTTCTCCAACTCCTGACGAATTCCTGATTGTTACTGGAACTGATCCCCTGGAGCCGGGAATCGGCATGTTTGTGAATCTGGATGGCGATCCCACGAGGCCTACTCTCGAGTTTACCAGATACCCCAAGGAGGTCGTCGTAGATAGCCCGCCTCTAAATGCTAACTCGTCACAGCCATCTTCAATGCAGGAAGAAGATGGGTATGTTCTGGCCTCGATGACGAGAGAAAAGGAAGGCTTGGAATATGGACTAGAGATTCAAAGATTTGATGCGGGCTCGGACCCAAACCCACAGAAGTTCTGGTTGACGGCCAGAGAGGCTGATGGGGTCTACGGCATTCGTTCGCTTGCTGGCAGCGAAGAAACGCGATTCGATGAGATTGTTCAGAAATTATCGCAAAGGCGATACACTCCTTTCTCTGTTTCAATATTGCCTGGCACCCCGGATCCTTCATCTTCAGCCAAGACACCAGACTCGAGGACAGCACTGTCAATAGAACATCTCTCAAAAGAGAAGGAACTTTTTGACAGAAACATTGACTCGCAAGACGAAGAATCATTACCAGAAGAGTGGGAGGCAAATCGCAATGCAGAGGGCGAGGAATTTGCTCGACAACTTGCCAAGGCCGAGGCAAGATTGGCAGTCTGGAGTGGAAGCCGCATCTGGTGGGCTATTCGCAATCCTTTGCTTATACAACTTGATGCCGCCTTGGAAGCAGCTTGCGTTGGAGATGTTTTTAGCCCCGCCGAGCTGGACAGACAAGCAATATTCACCACTATCAACTCCGTCAGGGGCCGAGAACCCCAGAGCGAGTTGGAATTTATGACTTATGGATACATACGGCAGAAAGCTGGCATCTTGCTTTTGACGAACTTGCTGAAGTCTCCTGAAGATAAGCAGTTTGCGGAAAAAGACGTAAAAGCTCTTGAAGAAGTGCTAATTGAGAGTGGTCTTGACCCCAGAGTGGTCCTTTCCCTGATTCCTAGCGTTCGAAACGAAATAATAGAAGGCCCACGCGGTATCTGGATATATGGCGGCGTGAGGAGAACCGCCGATGCTTACCTCAGAAGCAGGGAGTTCCAGATGACATCTAAGGACAGTATTGGAACACTGGAGCCGAGGACAATGCACTTTCTTCGAAGATTTCTTGGAACATGGCGCAAGAAGAAAGGGTTCGGCAGTGTGGCCGACGAGAGAGAAGTGTTTCACACAGTTGATGCGGCGCTGCTGCTCGTCCTTCTCGAGATTGATCAACACTCACCCAAGGGGTTGGGCAAGGGGGGCGTTGTGAGATCTGAGCTATACGAGATTGTAGATAAGGGTGTCGACTGTTTTGACCGTGCAGTTGATTTACTCGAAACATACCATCGACTCTTCGTGCTAAGTCGCCTGTACCAGAGCCGGAAACTGTCAGGAGATGTTCTGGCCACTTGGAGGCGGATCATCGAAGGCGAGCAGGACGTAGGGCAGGAACTCCGTGACGGAGAACAGCGAGTTCGTGAGTATCTGACCAAGATCAGCAGCCAGACTCTTGTCCAAGAATATGGTGTGTGGCTTGCAAATCGCAACCCAAAGCTTGGTGTCCAAGTTTTTACTGAAGACAAGGGACGAGCACCCAAATTTGAGCCAGCGCAAGCCGTTGCAATCTTACGAGAGGAGGCACCTGATGCAGTTAAGTACTACCTCGAACATTTGGTTTTTGGCAAGGGCCATACCACGTATATCAACGACCTGATGGCGTACTACCTTGACGTGGTTGTTCATGATCTGGAGTCATCTGAGGAGAGCCGAACTTTGGTCAGAGCGACATATGAGGCATATCGCGCTTTACAGCCTCCTAAGCCTGCATACAGCCACTTCCTTCGGGACAACGCCCCAGAAGACAACGAGGTCTGGCACAGCCGTTTGAGGCTACTTCAACTCTTGGGCGAAGCCAATGACTATGATGCAGCAGCCATCAGAGATCGGATCTCTAAACTGCCTGATGATCTTTTGGTGCCCGAGACCATTATACTTGCTGGCCGAGAATGCAAACACGACGATGCCCTACGCCTGCTAGTCCATAACCTGGGTGACTATGATACTGCAGTTTCATATTGTCTACGAGGTGGTGCAAGCACAACTGGCGCTGCTCCATCTCTACGACCATCTTTCGAGGAACAACGCCGCTTATTCAATGTTGTCCTCCATGAATTGCTCACTCTTGAAAACATCAGTGATCGTGTCGAGCAGACTGGAGCGCTCCTGGAGCGGTTTGGCAGCTGGTTTGAGATTGACGACGTACTCAGTCTTATCCCTGATGACTGGTCTGTCGACATTATCGCAGGCTTCTTAGTTGGAGCACTTAAACGTCTTGTGGGAGAGCGGCACGAAGCGATGCTGACTCGCGCCCTGAGCGGAGCGCAAAACTTGCGCGTAAGCTACGATCGCGTTGCCAAGATTGATGAAAAGGGGCCGAGCATTGAAGCATCGAACTAATATGTCCCCAGCCGAGTAAGCTGCGCTGTTTCATTATATAAAGAGGGGGATCCATAGCAAGCGTATGTGCGGAGACTATATTCATCGTAATTCAGGGATTGCCTGTTTATTCTTGATATCGTGATCATATGCATCTAATACATTTGTATCTTCGTACAGTCTTTTCTTTTCTTCACCAGGCATGACTTGTCCACCACTCTAACCAGTCATCATCCGACTGTACTGTTTGTTTTTACAGCCGGAGAGCTACCATCTTATTCCGTATCCGTCCCTCACGAAGCTGTTGCTCCACCTCATTCTACGGGCGGGAGTCGAGTCATCTCAGCAAGGTGAGCCAATCAATGAGAGAGAAGACGCAACTGGAACAAGTGTCTTGCTCCGCCACGATGAGTTGAAGTGTTTCCTAGAGTCCGAGCGTGAGATGGTCGTGATGCTTAAAGCTTCTTCGTTTCCCTCTGGGTCAGTGAAACTGCCAGGCTCCTCAAAGTCTCATATAAGCCTCACGAGGTTGAAATCCACTTCAGCGAAGCGACGACGAGCCACCTCTTGCGCACTGTAACATCGTCCTCACGTTCAGTATCCCATGGCCTCTCCTCGCCGTTGCAATCTCTCTCCCAGATCCTCTCAACCTCAAGTCCGACCTTCTGAAGTGCCGCTGCATCATAAAACCCGCTCATCTTTGTTCGACCAGTATGGAAACCAGCGACAACCCAACACCTAGCCTCGGGGGTTTGCTTGAGAAAGTGGGCGATGGAGCGGTGAAGGTTCTGGTGTTCCCAAGGCATCCAGAGACAATCGGCGGCAATGACACGGTCGAACGAGTGAGCAGCTGATGTGCTGAAAGTGTCATCGAGCTCACCCCAGGAATGGCCCTGGACGGAGACTGCAGAGGAGGGAGTTGCCTCAGCACCAGCGGGTGATAGAGAGGGTTGGATGTTGCGAGCGACATTGGTGCGAAGGGTTTTGAGGACGGGCTCAGCTGGATAGTCTGTGACAACGACACGCTTTGCGCCTAGCAGGCCACCCATGATACTCGGTAACGCGGTTCCGGCTCCGAGCTCAAGAGTCTCCAACCCCTTCACGTTGAATGAAGTGCTATCCTGTGCCTCACGAGGGTTCTCAAGAGGAATGCTGAGAGAGTCGGCCTCGATAAACTCTGCGAGCAGGAGCGAAGCATTCCAGAGGTAATGTGAGAACAGTTTGCGGTCATCCTCCTTTACAGGGTCGGCGAGGTCGATGACAAGGGGCTTGGGGAGATGAGGTGAGGCATAGGAGAGGTTGTGTTCCGCATCGCCATGTTGATTCGTGATATCGTCGGGGAAGATGACGCCCAAGGCAGTTGAGAGATAGTCTTCAGGGCTATCAGTCTCCCCGTTGACTGAGATACGCCAGGTAAGAGACATGACCTTATTAAATCGGATGCCCCCGAATATAATATCAATGTGAAGGATTTTTGCCCAATCTGCTCCGATGATCTGACTCGATTTGCTTGTAAGATCACTTTGAAAGTACTCCTATATGGCGTATTATACAGCAGATATCGAGCAGCTCAGACAGACACAAATAAGAATATGGATGGCTACGGGAATGTGCAGATGAAGATTTGTCAGAATAAGGATGACTTGAGTAAAGCTAACGTAGCCAGGCGTGGACGGTCGTGGGGCAAAGGCAATAAGAAAATTTGCTTAAGTAAGTCCGCACCGCTTTTTCAGATACCAAGGTACCTAAGGATAAGATGTACGTAGCATCCAGGACGACTCATATTGCGCAATGGTGAATACGATATATAAATTGCTCATGACGTTGCGGTGCATCTTACCTCTATGCCATACTTGGTCGCCTTCGTTACCCCAAGTCGGAGGAGTTTACACAGAGTTGGAGTTGTCAGCACACGAAAAGGCCGCCGATCCCTCTGACACCTTATAAGAGTCGATGACACCAATAACAGATCCATATGTTCCAGCAATCATCAGAAATGTTCCAGAAAGAATAACAAAACCACTCCATATGACCATAAGAACCCACTTTAGAGATCTCTCCTGCTTGCCTGCGGACCAGTTATCGTATAGCCAGAAGCAACCATAGGGCTGGAATGTTTGCAGTGTTCCCAGGAGAGCTCCGACAAGAGACACGAGACTTCCAAAGACGGGGATTGCACTCGCTATGATGTAGGCTAACAAAGCTGCAGAAAAGGTCAAGCCTAGCCACGTAGCCCAGTGAGTGACGGTGTTGGCTGTGAGATGCCTTGAACCTCGGAGGACTCGAACGAAGACGTATTTTCCTGTAACCTATGGAGACTTTGTATCAGCACTTATTTTGTCCAAAAGCGGACTTTACTCGTATCAAGCACTTACATGAGCATTGATGGTCGCACCAACGATCAGACCTGGCAAAGCAAGGCCGTACGCAACTTGCTTAATAGTCTTGCCAGCCGATCCCAGAGCAGGCGAAGCAACATAGGAGCCACAGTAGTAGTATATAATAACTCCCACAATGATATATGTCGCAGTTGCAACTGACTGACAGAGCAGCATGGCCTTGGTATAGTGGCGCGGATCGCGCATCTCTGCGGCAATAGGGAAAAACAGGGGTGTGCCAGCATAGGCAAAGACCATTGTCGAGAGAGCCGACATTGCTTCCGTGAAGCTCGGTGTTCCATATAGCTTATAGTCGGACTTCCATTTGTCCTCGAGGTTAATCTTTGGAGCTGCTGAGGGTCGGTCTTGCATGCCGACGGCGATGGTAACGACATAAACTACTCCTGTCAGTATGAATGACAACTTTGATGGGTATTCCACTTACCGCCTGCCATGAGAGAGATCACTCCCACCCACGCCAGCCAACTTATGCGGCCCAAGGTGCGGATGCTAGCACACAGAAAGACGATTATCGCGGCTACCGCGACAAAAGTAGCTGTGCATGTCCCATGCGTCGACAAAGCATTGAAACTGATAGAGATGCCCAATATTCCTGACGCGGAAGCAAAGATGGTAACTTGTACAGTCTGGGTCAGCAGCGAACTCAACTCTGAGCGTTATCACTTACGCAAAGAAAAGCTGATCCCAAGGAACTCTCGTCCAAAACGCCCAAACAAGATACCGCCTGCATCGTCAATACCGTATACCTCGCGGTGGTTAAGCTTGAATGTCCCAATAATATAGTCGGACCAAGTGGTGATGCCTCCAATGACGAGCAGACATATCAGTCCAGGGACAAGGCCCAGAGTGTGGAACGCCGACGGGATCGAGAGGATGCCCAGCCCGATTTGGGTCTTCATCATAAGTGCAGAAGTGCCTAGCCAACCGACCTGTTGGCGTCAGTACCTGATACTATACTGCGGAGAACCTGTGGGAAGCACTTACATCTCGGTAGTTGGGTCCATCTTCTGTGATATCGCCAAAGACCTCGTCGTGAGCTACGGTTGCCCGAGCGCTGTCTTCATTCAGACCTTGTTGTAGAATCGGCACTGGAGCAAAAGCCCCAGGCTCTCGATTGATGCCGTTTACGATACCCATCTTGCTCTTCATTCAGAAGAAAATAAGAAGAATTAAAAGTTGCAAAGATCAGTCAGAATGATAGTTGCCCGTATATATCCATTCAGTATCTATCTCCCCTCACGTATTCGGCCCGCCAGAACTCTACTCTGAGGTCACTGGACGCGTATTGCTCCCCCTATAAACTTTCTCGATGCTCACATGGCATTTTGCGTTTCTATGATGAAGTGGTTTCACCGTATCAGAGCATCTCTCTCATCTTGAATCCCCAGCTCAGTCATTCATATCTCCTCTAAGCCAATCAGCGCGGAAGGCAGAAGGACTATTTCTCAATAAACCCATTCTCGCTCGCCCCTATGTTACTCAAGATTGGCCAGTTTCCTTCATCTTATTGCTTTGTCACGAGGGGGGGACTGCATAAAGTTCGTGGCTGTATCGTAAAGTTGTACTCGTATTATCTCAACTGGCCCACGAGTCTTTTAGCAGTTTCGAAGAGTTAAAGCTTTCAATAAAAGGTCATGTGTCTTGATTATAGTCTGCAATAGAAATCTTAGATTAAGTTTAGATAAAATTTGGGGCTTGCTCATCCTATGTTCTGATCACGGTATCATTTTGTTACGTCTTACTCATTCATCAGAGGTATTCATCAGAGACATCAAGCTACTAATTTTATACTCTAACGCAAGTTACCATGTCGAGCAAGATCAAGCAAGGCGTGGACGTGGACGTGGACGTGGACGTGGACGTGGACGTATTCATGCTTGATGCGGTGCAGTAAGAAAAAGAAATGATATGTTCTAGGAGAACCAAATGTCCAAGGTGGTTATTGGTCATCACAAGTCTAGCAAGGTGTCAGTCAGATCGGGGTATTAATAAGTGGTATTATCATATTAGTGCTCATATTATACATCCTTGTTTCAGCTACGAATGGCATCAAAAACTCCCATGTTCTGAAACATACACGCAAGCCCATTCCAGTCCAAACATTTTGTACAGTGGCTTCAGCAGACACTCAAGGAAGACACCAATCACCATAAACAAACAGTGCTTGAACAAAATGCAGATTAGGACAGAGTCCTTGAATAAGTATTGCTGTCAAGATAGTCCATTATTGTCATTAAGCCATCAATGGGTGAGGTACCAGTCCAAATCCCAGATAAAACAACAGTAAAAAACATGGGTATCGATATGTCAACTCCATGGCGCAAATCAGTTCCCTTTCCATTCCGTTCCTTTCCTTTCCTTTCCTTTCCTTTGCCTCGAAACTCTCATCCTATGCCCCCTCATACGCGGGATGTGTCCTGTTACCCAAATCCAAACCTAAACCCAGTCATAAATATTGTCCGTGAAATACCCGGATGTTCCCTTTTTCTAATACAGTCCCGCTTACGCCGTGCCCATTATGCTTTTTTTTTTTTTCGATGTGGTTTTGTTCGTATACTTTTGAGAGAGGTGTTGTAGTTATTGATCGTAGGTGTGTGTGGTCGATGATGCCGGGTCGTTATATAGTAGTGGTGGTGGTGGTGTTGGCGGTGAGCATTTGCTGCATCTCCTTGAGCTGCTCAGCGGTAGGGTCGTCGGAGATCCAAGGGCCCTTCTCTTCATCAGTGGCACCGTGGAAGCCAGCAGCTCGCTTGAGAGTTTGAACGTCGAGGTCGGTGACATAAGACTTGCCATCAGATAGCTTGAGACGGACCTCATGGTCGGTGGAGAGCATCATGTCGTCCTTGGCAAGACGACGAGGACCATCAAAGACAGCCATGACACGCTTCTTCATGGTCATCTGACCCTTATCAAAGCCCCACGATGATGGATAGTCACGACGGTTCTTGCGGCTGCGGGTCTTGGTTCCCAAGGGGACACCACCGCGGGAGTGAGTGACACCGCGAGACTTCTGGACACCATTGGCCGGATTGCCCTTCTTTCTGATGGCAGGGGAGGAGTTGCTTCGGGGAGAGCTATCATCATCATCGTCACCACTGTCGGCATCTTCATCATCATGGTTTGCCATGACAGTGTCTGTGGTAGTGGGGAGGTTGTTTTTCTCCAGAGTCTGGTGAACATCCTTATCGTTCTCAACCTCAGCAAGGCGCTTGGCGTTGATGGCCTCGGCAGGGTCCTCTTGCTGGACAATGCGCAGCACGCAGTCGTCGAGATGCTCGTAGAAGTCCTGAGCATTGGAGAAGGTCTGCGAGCAAGTGCTACACTTGCCAGTGGCATCGGGAGCATAGCCAGTCAGCTTCTTGTTCGCGTTGGCACCTGCAGACGACTTCTTTCGGCTGTTGGGTGGAGTCTGCTCAACACCATGAACTGCAGTCAAGTGGCGCTTGAAGACGTCGGCACGGTTAAATGACTTCTCCGCAGCCGAGCCGGAGCCTGGGCAGAAGCCGCAGACCATTGTGCCTTTGTAGTGTGTGAGGGTGTGACGGTTCTTGTCATACTTGCGAGCAAAGCCCTTGGTGTGGTACTCGCAAGTTTGGATGGGACACTTTTCAGGGCGCTCAGTCTGGTGAGTGAGCATGTGAGCCTTGAGGTCCTTGAAGGTCTTGCCGCAGTCGGGATAAGTGCATCTCTGCTTCTCCTTGGACTCGTCACTGCTATACTCGCCTGGTGTAGGTGGAACGAATTGGGTGACGCTTGGGGCACGGATATGGTTGTGGTTGTGGTTGTGGTTCTGAGTTTGGCTGTGATTATCCATTGGTGCACCGTAAGGGCTGCTGGGAAAAGTGGATTGAAAGTTTGTGGTTTGGAGAAAGGGTGAAGAGCTATTGGTCCTCATCATGTGAGGTTGAGGCGAAGAGGAAGAGGCAGAAGGAGAAGTGGGATATGTGTGATGAGGATTGGCATTGGTTTGCTGGAAGTGATTGTCATAGGGAGGGATCCCCATGGGAGGGCGAGTAAGCTCTGAATGAATCAGAGATGGGTCTGTCATGATAGAGAAACCTGGTTAGCGATCTACTACGGTAACAGTACAGAAGAGGCAGTTCAGTGCTGCTCAGGAACGGAACGGAGAGTGGTGGAGTTGGGGATGGACGCGGATGATAGAGATTGCAACCTCAAGTCAGCTGAGCTAGGCCCAAGATGGGTTTCCAGCTGGCCACTGCCGATGAAAAGCAAGCAGGATCGCCAATCGTTTGACAGCGGAGAGGTGACATCAAGCGCCGATTGGGTTGTCGTGTGTAATGTCTCAGTTGACAACGGAAGAGCCCACGGGCTAAATCGTTGTTTAAAAAAGACAGACATGAACGTGTGATGGAAGTGGGACGTGGGACGTGGATTGCAAGGGATAAACTCTAAGAGGAAGCAGAGAGAAGGGCAAGATGATGATCGGCCATCTTCAACTCGGCTCAAGCTGAACTCAATGAGCCAAGAGAGCCGACGACCTGGTAGAGACAGGCGCAAGCGCAAGCGCAATCCGACACATCGTTTTGTCATATTCAAAGCAACGAACCGAGCAGGGGTTCAGAGGCACTAAGCATCTGGTGGTGGGGAAGAGGCCTCAGACTGGGTCTCTCTCTCTGCCAATGCCCTTGCGAGGCAGGGGGAAAGGGATCGCCGAACTCGAAGCGAGTAAGAAATAGCTCTGAACTTACCAACAAAGGCCTTTGCTGCCGGGAAATCAAAGCTGAGCTCTTCCATTCCGGAGCTAGAAAACGACGCAAAATCGGATCCGATGTAGTCACTGCCCACAATTGCAGGCTGGAGCCCGAGGCCATGGGGAGCCCACTCGGGCATTGCACCCATTTGACCATGGTTCGATTGGGGAGATCCAATTGCCGAAGACGTTGTTGACGCTGCCGAGACTGTGGAAAGGCTTGATGAAGGGAGTCTCATGTCGGAAGATTCATCTGTATACATGCTGGGTGATGCGCGGCTGTTGAGCATGTAGTTGGGGGCCTCGGCGTACAATGAGGGCTCGACAAATCCCATTGACGAAGCAAATGCATCTTGGTTGCCGTTCTGCTGTTGGAAGCCAAAGGCATCGGCAGGGATGCTCACATCCATGGGTCCCGAAGTGAAGATGACGTTGGAGTCCGTATATCGAGCAAAGTCCTCGGCGTCGGAGTGATGAGGGAACATGGCAAATGATGTTTCTGTCAAGGCTGTCATAATGTCTGAGGAAGAAGGGCGGAAGACAGAGGTTTGAATGTCGGCAAGATGAAGATGGGAGTGGTGGTGGTCAAGGTGAGGGCGGGCTTGGAGTAGTTATAACTCAAGCTCGGGTTGCAATCACCTTTGTCTATAATCGCAACACACAATGTCAGGTTCAGAGCTCCAAGTCAAGGAGGAAGAGTGGAAGCAGCGGGGACTTTTCTCATCGGCGAGGCAAAGAATGAGTGAACGTAACCCGGAGAAGCTTACCTGCACTTCGCATTCCAGAAACGGAGTGAGGCTTCAGGTGAGTCGAGGTCTCGAGGGTCTGAGATGTTTCTGGTGGATGTGGGTTCAGACACGGCAAACAATCTTCTTCTGGTCGGCTTCCTGGAACTCGTGTGCTGGTGATGAACTTTTCTGTGTTGTGAGAAGGAGGAGTATTGCCAGGGTCCAATTAAGAATGCTCAGTTCACCAAAATGTGTTTGAGAAGAGTTGTCTCGAAGTGTTCGTGGTGAAGTTGAAGCTGGAGATGAGGGCGATGTTAGTGCTCGGTGGATGGTGGCAGGGGCACTATAGGTCGAAGTATTCAGAGACCAATTGTTATACTGGTCTTGTCGTCTTGGAAAGGACAGACAATGGTCTTTAAAAGAAACACTGTCGTGATAGATTGGCCCTTAAGGTTGTCGTTGTCGAGTAGCAAGCTCTTGCAAGACACAGCGAGGGGGTTGGGGGCTGTCAACGTAGATATAGTCAAGGCACCACTGCACCTGCATTCGGGCCCCGTCCGCGATGGATCGGCTCTCTCCAGTTGACAGACAACTTGAGAGGAGGCTGCTGGGGTAGAGAGTGTCCCAGAGGTGGAAGCCATGTACGATACATCGGCCGGTACATTGGTAGGGCCTAGCTCTCTCTAACCTCAAGCCTCTGGAGCCCAGCAATTGAAGCCAGTCCAGGGGAGGGAGCCAGGGGGGGAGGGTGAGCCCACCACCCCATCACCAGCCAGCCCAAGCCCAAGCCTGGTTGACCAGGCTCAAAAAAGACGAGGGTGTGTGTGTACAGGGCGGACAGCACAGCATAGCGCAGCACATCACATCAAGCAAGCAAGCAAGCACAGCCGCGGGGAGGTCTAAAACAAGAGGTAAGAAGGAAAAAACAAGTCCAACTCCATAAAATGGCAGAGACAGAAACAGAGACAGAGGCACGCCAGCGGCCCAGCGCCATGCAGCGCCAAATAGCGCCAGCCTGCCTCAGAGTGTAAGGACCAGGGAGAGAGAAGAGAGACGGCACACTGATTCATTCAGTTATTACTCAATTGAAATGTGCCTGCCATAAAGTACGGTCGATATATGTACAGTATGTACTGTACAATGCAGTCCCGAACTGTGTAGACAATTCCAGGCTTTGATATTCAAAGACATGTTGCATCCATGTCTTGGAGGCCCTGGATTTCGGGAGGATCATTATCATTGAGGGGGGAGCAGAGACAATGATTGAGGCGTATCGCCTCCCGCCTTTTCTCATTACGAGATATGGAGAAGAATCTCTCTTTGAAGAAAATGGTACGCTATGTATCACCGCCCTCCATGATTACCTAGAGTTGCGGTTTTGTCTATTCTTGATGTCGAAAAGGCGGAGGTCGCAGAGCAACGTTTTGGTACGGAAACATGGGGTGAACCAAAGACCCTCCCGAGGCGTGTGCGTGAGAAACAAATTGATCTACGAAGACGTCAATGAAAGGAACTTGCGTCGCGGGTAGCAGTACAAAGAAGAAGGCCTCCTAGATGGACAGGGTTGCTATTTGGCAGTGTGACGGGGCGATTCTAAGCGGTTGACAGAGGAATCTCTCAGGCAGGGGGACTCTGCTTCAAGTCCCGGTACTCGGAGGAAGTAGCTTCCGGTACGTGCATATGTATTGGCGACCCTAGCACACCTCACACCTCCACCTCCACCTCACCTCAACCTCAACCTCAACCTCAACCTCAGTCTCAAGGACACTCCGCCGACCGCAGTTGATGGGTCCATCGTCGCCTTTCCCATCTTCAGGGGTCTCCCAAGGCTGTCTGTCCCACGTCACAACCCTCTGTAGAATGCAAGGTAAGGTAAGTATGTAAGTATCTAGCCAGTGCCATACCGCTTCCCTCCCCTCAGAATATAGCAGGTTGATACGGGCTGGATGTCACCAGGTTGCTATTCGTGGTCAGCCAATTGTGACGATAGTTTGATATCTAAATGAAGCTATTGAATGAGAGTTGCGGAAGTCTAAAGTCAATGCTAGATGCAGATGCAGATGCAGCAGAGCAGGCAAGGCAGAGTTTACCTATGAACTTAGACCCCGTGCGGCAACCATCGTCAATCTTCCCGTTCATGGTTCGCGCGGTGATCCGCCTCAAGCCTACCAAACCTACAGTCCAGTACCTAGTTATAATAGGTACCTAGCCAACACCATTTGCTGCAACTTTAGTTACTGTACCTACTGCGTTGAACCCCTCTTCTTCATCATATCCTAATCATCATCCCCTCCCTCCCTCCTTTCCTTCATCACATAGCGGCCAATGGTGACCTCCTGATCCTCGATGAGCCTGATCTGACATGGACCAGCCCGTAGGAAGGTAAGGTTCCAGGATGTTGGTTTAAATTATTTGGAGTCTTCTCACTTACAATTAGGTCTCTTCACAGAACATCCCAAAGGTGGTGATATTGCTTAGAGGGAGCCAGTGCTTGCTTTTTGCTTATTGCTACTGTATCAAATATCACGGTATATCGGCAATTGACAAAACAAGAAGGCGGTTGGTTACATTGTCGGCAAGGCAATATGCTCTAAGCTCCAAGCTCTTTGAAACCATCAGTAGACATCACATCACATGCGCAGCATTCCTCCGCTGCCTCAATGAACTTACACATGCAGCATTCTAAGCATCTTCAGGGTAAATCTAGCAACACTACCCGCCCGCGTCTGCAAATATCTGGGGCCGCGAGACATTGAAACCTTCTGCTAAAACGTGGTGGCTCGAAAAAGAGGCTTTGCCCGAAGGGCGCTGGTGCAAAAAAATGGCAGATATTTTTATCGATAAATCAATGCACAACCAACCCAGATGTAACCCAACGATGCATGCATCAAATAGTGCTTCCCTGCCTTATGAACAGAGGGCTGTGCCTCTCACAGAATTGTGCTGTGAATCAATCAATCGATCAGTTGCTGGGACCAATCATACTCCTCGGTTGCTTGATGTCTCAATCGGCCCCGAGGCCTGGGGGCGCAGTCCGGCCTCGCCCGTCTTCCCAAATCTGGGACCCTTGAACGTACTGTAGGTAGGTATTACAGTAGTTATCCCCCTGTCTCTCACTGTCCCTCACCCTCAAAACGATTCCCGACGTGGTCGCTGCGCCCTTGTCACTGGCTCCATCAACTCGCTCGTTGTTGCGTTGCATCTTCCGGGGAAGGCGTACCAGCATCATTCAATCAGTCAGTCAGTCAATCAGTCAGGGCCAGGGCCAGGGTAATCAAAGCATTGGATTCAAGCATATCTTGCTTGGCTATTCCCAAACTGGTCACTCGTGTCTTCAAGTCCTTGCTGACCCGGAAGATCACTGCTGTCAAGAGTTACTCATTCGAGCATGCCTGTCAACGTCCCTGCACTCTCAGATCTCCATTAGTTATGACAGAATGTTACTAGTAGTATCAAGTGTTTCATACTTGGCCTAGCCGGTCTGAGGCAATATTGTCTCAATCTAGCCATCGTACTCTGTACAGACATACAACACCGCATAGACCAGACTAAGATGAACTTCAGAAGCCTCGCGGAACAAAACAAACGACTAGCACCACGTTGACACTTGATGTCATCTCCACATGGCGTCGGCTCAACATGGCGCGCAATAAGACAGGCATCGGAATGTTTACATGCAACTCAACTGGACACGATCAAAAGCATAGGAAATTATGGCGGAATCTAATTCACTAGCAGACAAACTTCTAATTCGATCAATTGTCCCAGGTGGAGTCAACGAGAGTGAGGTATCCACGAGGGAAATGATCAAAGAAAATGAATACCCAACTTCAGGTTAATTAGACCTGCATCTCCGGAAACGCCATGTAATGTCTTGTCCGGCTTACATATCTTATCAATGCAAAGCGGTTGCTAGTCAGGCAACTTGGCGTTCCACTACTCGAGTGTACATGTCTTTATTGATCAGGATAGGTACGAAAAAGGTGTCGCGATGATGGCTGTGTTTTGTGTGCCAGATGCATCCAATATGATGTGTGACATTGGGCAAGCTTGCAAGTCTTGAGGCGGTCATCCATCATTCATTCGTAGGGCTTAGCAAACCTTGTCTCAATTAACCTTACCGATGATTAGCAGGAATTGTACTGTATGTCTGAAGTATGGACTTCTCAGTCCCCCAGACGGACAATCTTGCACGCAAACCCTGTTGCAGACGAGAATGTAGTCCCTCGTGGCGCCGGGGCTTGAACCGTTCAAGGTCTGAGTCCTCCCTTCCATCCGAACGCCATGTCCGGGCGACGTAAAACGGTAGTAGAAGACGCCTCTAGGAGGGGACATCATTTCAAGCTTTGTTTCCTGAGAGGTCCTGTACCGCATGTTGTGCAGAGTTCCTGCGTTTGTTGGCGGCGGCAGTGACGGGTTCAAGTTGGTTCTCGGAGACGCAACTGGCTTAGTGTTGCGGAGTTGTGTAATGTTAGAGGGCTGCTAAGCCATCATCGACGGACGTGCACTTGTTATTGGACGCTGTGTACCAGCGACCCTTTGACAAGCTCTTGTCAAGTTTGTTTGTGGATGGTGGGGGTTTAAAAAAAGAAGCGGGATGGCTGTGCAACGCATCCGCTACTGGACTGGATACCTAGGTAGGTATTTTGACGCGATTAAAACATTTCATCAACAACGGTACTGGGGTGTGCCGTATATACTACGTCCATAGAAAGTCAAAGAACTACTACATACGCTTCATGGAGTCTGAAAGCGAACTTGCATCTGTGAGACCTTTTCGAGTCTAG